AAATAGGATGAAACCGCTCATCCTGCATTCCGCTGCTACCCACTGTTCATCTTCGATTGAGAAGTGGTATATGTATATATACAGAGAGAGAGAGAGATACTGGACCACACCACACCATAAAACGAAAAATAAATTGTTTAACGTTGATTATTCTAGACTAATTAATTCAATGGATATTCAAACAACTGTAAACTTTTATCTCAACTCATAACGACAAATCCCAAGGGTATGACCAGAAATATTTAAAAAGTATTATTGAAAATGTGTACTCAATATGACCTTAATGAGTAGCTTTATACGCTTATACACACATATATATACATAAAGAGATATAGAATATTAAGAAACAAATTATTTTCGACTATCACAAAGTTGAAATTTGAATATAAACTACTGATATGGTGATTACTAGAATTTATGTTAACTTTTCTACTTTTCATCTTTAAATAACCAACACAATTGATTGTTTTAATAGTTGAGATCATGATTCAATAGAAGCTTGATCATCATGGAAAACCTGGAAACATTGGATGGCCGTTTTGTTCTATTGTGGGACTCCTGAGTAGTGCACATCCACGATCCCACCTTACGAGATTCGAATCCAAGGCCTATCCGTTTCACGCGCGAGCGCTCAACTATTAGACCACTGAGCTGGCAGGCATCAAACGATGTTAACTTTAACCAATCTACGAAATTGAGCGACCATTTTCTATTGTACTAACGTAGATGTGTATCTCCAGCCAACACAGATTATTTCCACTGGTTATGGCTTCTTACTAGAACACCGAGAATTCCCTCACGAAGCTAGTCATTAGTGAGCACGTGGTATGTGTTTGTGGAGATTATTAAGATTTTGATTGAGATCATGAACCGATTGATGTTAGACCAGCATTAAAAACCTGGAAGCACATAACGGTCGTTCCATATTTTTTCTCAACTTTCAATCTGGGTTACTCTATAGCGATTGTGTTCATACAAGATAAATGGAGATTTAATTGGGGAAATTGTTTAAAAATACATTTTTTAAAAATAGTCCACATTAAAATAAAGATGATTTGTTACTTAGGATACAGATGAATAATATATCCAGCCTATAGTTATCTTAATTTCATGCTAATATCTAAGTACATTACACTGTATAACACACAAAAAATTACAATTCCATAATATCAGAAAGATTTCGTGGAGATTGCAGTAATTTCAACAGTTGAGATCATGAGTCGATTGAAGCTAGATCACCATGGAAAACCTGGGAGCACTGACCGGCCGTTCTGTCCTATTGTTGGACTCCTCAGCAATGCGCATCCACGATCCCACAAACCCTCACGAGATTCGAACCCAGGACCTATCAGTCTCACGCTAGGCGCTTAACCAACTAGACCACTGAGCCGGTTGGCATCCAACAGTGGTAATGTCTAAAGATAGTTTGTTACTTAGGATACAGAAGATGAATAATATATCTAACCTATAGTTCTTTTAATATTATGCTAATATCTAAGTACATTACATTGTAGTAACACACACACACAAATTACAATTCTATAATACTATTAAATTTAAATATTAAAATTACATATCTAATAATGTTGAACATTTAATGATCATCAGTTCATTTAAACAAAACAACAACCTGGAGAACAACAACAACAACACCAAAAGGATAACAAACTACTCATTATGATCATGATAACCTTATTTTAATAAAATAAAAATTACTTTTTGAAACGAGTTTTCTTCTCTCTCTCTCTCGCCCTCCTCCTCTCCCCCTCCCCCCCTTTCTCATTTTGTATCTACATATACATATATATATCTATAATTAATATTCATATGAATTTACATTTGATCTTCTTTTCTTTTTCTTTTTCTTCTTTTTTCTTTTTTTCTTTTTTCTTTTTTTGTTTTGAATTTAGTTTTTTCGGTATATATTATATCAAAGTGTTATAAAGGACATAAATTTGATTAGAATAGAATAAATTGAATGAAATAAGAAAGAAATGTAAAGTATTCTCATATAAGTGAATGAAAGGTTATCAAATATTATGGACTTGAAATTATTGAAACTCCGCCTGGAATCGCTCCGGGGGCTACTGCCAGTCCCAAGCCCGGATAAAGGAGGAGGGTTGGGTATGGGGTTAGCGTCCCCATCTCGTAGAAAACTAACTCGCTAAAAAAACGCTAACCAAATTATTCATGATGAAATTATTGAAGAGTTTCATATTAGGTCGTAATTGTTGTGCCGCAAAAAAAAAAAACGTTGATCACTTATACTTGAAACGAGAGATCTTGTCAATGCCCCACAATGCGAAAGTAAGAATACAAAGACTGGTATAAGTGAAGATTTATTAGCTCCCCAAAACACTATAACGACGACGACGAATCGAATCTCGTCTAAAATACACTGGTTTCTATATTGATTGTACACCCATTTTGATTAATAATTAGGATTAGATCACATACTCAGTTATAACTGATCACTTAGTGAGCAAGGTTCATGTCAAGTGAGTACAAGAATATCGCTTATTATACAGAAGAAAATATCATACTGGGAAAACACAATCAAATACTCCACTGAATGATCCTCGCGTTGAATCAAAATGGATGTTGAATGTTGAACCAAAACTCATAATGAGTAAATCAATCAAAAATGGACTTTTCTTTCCATCATATCAGGATAGAATAGTCATTTAATGATCATAGATTATTAATGATGCCTTAAATATGATCGTGAAGTCATCAGGAGTTGATTAAAAAAAAAGAGAAAAAGAAACTGAAAATAAATCATCTAATCAATTCATATGCAATAGAGATAGCTCGAATAGTTCAGTGGTAACAGTTCTGACTGTGAAGTTAACTGATATGAAATTGAATCCATCAAAGAGTATCAGTTCCATCAGATTATAGGTACATCTTGTTGACGAGTGTCAAATAGTACAAAATCTAGGTTCAGGTTTTAATGCCAAAGAACACATTACATCGAATAATAGAAGCAGATATGAAAAAGGATGAATAACAACTGAAAAGGATAGCCCAGAACAAGATTGGATGGAAAGTGCTGGTCAGCAGCCTATGCTCCTCCACGAGGAGTAACAGGCATATGTGAGTAAGTAAGTAAGTAAGGAAAAGACTTTCAAGAAAGTATCAGAAAAACAACAGATTACATATTGTACCCAAGTTGAATAATTCTCAATCTTGACATTCATTTTATTATATTTCTCGAAGCTTTTAGAATATCCATCATCGTCTTATAGAGGTCTATAAACATTTTTTTTTGTATTAATACTAACTTTGAAAATGAAGCTTCTTTTGGATACTTTTATTCTGTGTTTTGAGCTCAGTTATAGATGATTTCTATAGACTTTTAGGAAGTAATTGGTCAATCTGTTATATTCGAATGAAGAATAAATGGATAGTAACCGATAGGATTTATTTATGGACTGTCATTATCATATATAATCTTATTGTATGACTATTGAGTAACTATATTATATGTATATTCATATTCCTCTCATTATAAACTTCCATTTGATCTATGGATTAGTATTCTACAACTTACTATTCTTAAAATATTCCCAATTTATTAGTAACAGTCTGTCATAATCACAACCATTTTTTGGCTTGATCTTGTATAATTGTTATTTTCTATTTTATGGTATGATCTGGTCTGTATATAAACTGTGTATATTTGGAATATATGATTTGTATAACAGAGGCTAATATTGATGATCTGGATTAAACCGGTTGACTTAGGAGTAATGCTACTATCTTGATAGTACAATAAGAACTCAAAGTTAACTCTAGATTACTTGTACTAATTTATACGTCATTGATCTGGTCTTGAGATAGTGGAGAAGAATTGTAGCTCAGATGAGTGATTTTGATGGAGTTTTTTTCTCTGAGCTGAATGGTTTAGTAGTGGAATTTTCATCATTCTTCTGTACGACATCATCACCACAAACTTCAGGTAGAAGTGAAATGTTCGAATTTGAACACGAACATTTCAATAAGCTCAGAGAACAAAACATCATTTCTACCTGAAGTTTGTGTTGACTATGTAGTTCAGAAGAACGATGAAAACTCCACAACCTAACTATCCAGCTCAGAGAAAAAAACTCCATCAAACTTGATCTGGTCATCAATAAGCCATTATTCTAATTAACAATCATCTCAGGTGGTAACTAACAGTTTATGAGAAGATAACACATAATCAGTTTCAATTATTCAAATATCAAATATGACATTTCCCCCACCTCCTCCAACCGACCGAACCCTAAAAAAACACAGAATACTGGAGGTTTTTTTCAGTAACAGAAGAAAAACAATTCAATATTAAATTCAAAATGTTATTTTAATTTCTCTAAATAATTATAATTCTACATTATACTCTTTACATAGATTCTATTTTTCGAAGAAAAAAAAACAAAAAAAGGGGAATACCAAAATTTAGTAACCATGACTAATAATGTTTCCATCATTATTATCATTGACAAAAATAATCAATAAATTCAATTATCAATATTGTAATTACAGGAGAATTACAAAATTCCCTTATTAAAATGAAATGTTTACAGTTTTACCACGTTCCTTCACCCCTCCCCCCACCCACACACACATACACCGAAATAGGGGATGATGACAATATTAAAATGAAATGTTTACAGTTCTACCTACTTCACCCCACCCCTACACCGAAAGGGGAGGATGGTGACAATATTAAAATGAAATGTTTACAGTTCTACCTCCTTCACCTCACCCCCACACTGAAAGAGGAAGGGGTGGTGACAATATTTAATGAAATATATTATTATAATTTATATCAATATAGTTGAACAATTAAGAAGAAACGATGAATTCAAGCAAGTAAATAAATAAGAAAACAAGAATAGAACAGAATAGAATAGTGTTAGTAAAGAAAACAAAAACATGAAAAAAATTAAGCAAAAAAATGTTCTCTCTGTTTGTTTATTTTTTTTGATTTTTTCTTTTCTTTTCTTTTCTTTTTTTTTACAAACAGTTAGCAACTGATAAAAATTTATTTGTTGTATAATCAAGATAGAAATCTTTTTTATGAATTAATGTTTCATTTGTTGTACTACTACTATTACTACTATTAGTAGTACTAGTAGTAGTTGTAGTTGTAGTAGTTGTAGTAGTAGTAGAAATCATGGATAAAGGAAATAATGATGGTGATGATGATAATGATGATGATGATGACGATGATGGTGATGGAGTTGTTGATTTATATTCAACAATACCATTCCTTGATAAATGTTGTTCATTATTTCGATGATATTGTTTCTCATTGTCATCAACAATGATTACAGATTCACAAGTACCAGAATCAATTCCAACAGTAATATCAACTTCATTCTCATCATCATCACCATCACCATCATCATCATCATCGTCATTGTTATTCATATTGATTGGATCGTTATTATTATCATCATCGTTACTAGAATCAATACATTTCGATAATTCAGTATAATTGGTTGTGAATTTCATAGATTCAAACTGATTACGATTATGTGTATTATAATGTTGTAATAATTGATTTGTATTACTCATTGATAAGTGACAATGATTATTATCAGTAGTATTAGTAGTAGTAGTAGTATTCATTCGATAATTCTCTTTACCTTTATCATATAACATTAAATCATATGAATAATTGGAATCCATTCGTTTTTGAAAATTTCCTACGGAACAATTGGAATTCAATAGAGCTAAGGATTGTTGACTTGTAGGTGGTAACCATGGTAACGAGAATGTAGTTGAAGTGAACTGTAATTCATTGTTATTATTATTATTCAATTTCGAATCATTCACATAAATTGGTTGAGATGTTGACGGGCTAATTGGTGAATTTTTTGATAGTTTATTAAATGAAGATGAAAAAGTTGAGATTGTGGATGAAGGAGATAAGGTAGAAGAGGACGATATAGTTGGTGTATGATTTGATAAAGATATTGAACTAATCACTTGAGGTATTGAAATAGAATTTGAAAGTGGAACTGTAACAGTAGTAGATGACATTGGTGGAGGTCGTGGTAATGCAGTCCCAGTTGCCATTGCTATAGCAACTGCTGTACGATATGCTTCTATTGTTTCATGATGTTGCTAAAAATTTTATACAAAAGAGACAAGAAAAAAGTGATATCAAATCTACTTAATTACACATATAAGTGGATGAGGGTTATAAAACAAGTGTGAGGAATTAGAATTAGAATTTACAGTTGATGATTAGGCTTAGGAATTAGATTTCAGGTTTTCATCACGAACTAACATAAGCTATAATGCCAAAACTCTATTTATCCAAATGAATGGGTGAATTTCGCGCCAAGATTCAAGACCTGTTATCTTATATCTGATTGCTTCGTCCATAAATTATAGTCTCGTCAACGCCACATTATAAATATGAATTGACGGAAGTTGGAAAATGTGTAGTGTATGATTAAGATTCCATTATCAGTATGGGATTATGGAGATTGTTGAGAAGTTGATTGAGATTATGCATCAATCAGTGTTAAATCATGATTGAAAATCTGAAAGCACTGGAAGGTTCGAGACTTGAACTCAGGAACTTCGGTCTCACACGTGAACGCTTAACCTTTAAACTATTGAACCGACATTCAGTGATGTTAATGTCTAGCTTCAACCAATCCACGAAATTGTGCAATCATATTTTATACTAGAATGAAACGGCCATTCAATGTTTCCAGGTTTACAATGGTGGTTTACATTTCTAATAATTATTGTCAGAATCAGAGTTTCTTAAAATTGTAGTAATTTAATGGTTGAATTCATGAATGAATTTAAGGTAGATCACCTTGGAAAAGCTGGAAGCACTGGATAGCCGTCTCATCTTAGTATGGGACTCTGTCGGATGTTGACTCAGTGGTCTAGAGTCTAAGTGTTCGCGCATAAAACCAGAGGTCCTAGGTCCGAATCGTGTGTTCCAGATTGTGGATGCATAATCCTGAGGAATCCCACAATAGGACGAAACGACAGTCTAAGTTTCCCATGGTGATCTGGCTTAAATCGACTCTAAAGTTCAATCATCTAATTTTCTAGTCATAATTAATTTACACCAACCTAATGTAGGGGAGAATAAACCAACTTCCAACGGAAGAGAAAATTAGATGTTGAAAGTGGATAAAACATACATTACGGAATTTACCAAAACTATATCATGAGTCAAGCCTTAACTTGTAGTCCGGATAGGAAATGTAAATACGAAAAACCAATGAACACATTAAGTTGGAAATTGGAGTCAAACATGAAAAAGATAAATAACAACTGGAAAGGATTGTCCAGGGGCGAGACTCTAATTTATGGACGACCTTTGAATGAATCTTAAGTAACGTTGACAAATATTAGCCAATCAGCAAACAGTCGGAATGGAGTAAAACTATGTTATACAAAACCAAGGAAATAAAGTGGATACACGTCTTAGACGTGGTTCAAAAACTTGACAAGGTTAGAAAGAGGTTCAGCGGTTCTGAAATCGTAATCCATGCAGTAGAGAAAATCATCTAAACGGCTACAGAATAGTCGACCTCTGGAGTCATGATAGAATATCAAATACTCTCCTAGCCTTGACCACACAGCTTCAATATTGTTTACGTGCACTCCGATTGTTGAGTGCACAAAATGCTACTTGTGGATAACGACACGATGCATATAACCAAGCCTATGTAGGAGTCTGTACACTCTCCGAACATCCGTATATATTATAGTACCTGGCTGCAGCCAGTGTTACTGGTGCTTTTATTATCCAGTTCGCAATAGTTGTCATAATTTGCTTCAGTTAGGAATTATTTATAGGGTTTTCATCATGAACTGACATCAGATATAATGCCAGGAGTTTATTTAACCAAATGGATGAAAGGTTTTCGTGTCCAAATCCGATATCTATTATCTTATACCTGATTGATTCGTCCAAAAATGATAATCTCGCCGTTTTATTTGTTATAGCCGCTGAATGATCACATTTTGTACAAAATCCCATGTGAACCGATCGTACGTTAGCATTAAGCACTGAAATTGGCGCCGTAACCTTGAAATCTCTAAAACGCTTCTGATTGACTTGTCCATAAATTAAAGTCTCGACTTATCCAAGATTCAAAATACTGATCAATGGTTTATACTCTTTCAATGAGAAAGTAACAAACATTAGTAAATAAATCAATCATTAAGTGATACATAAAAATGATTAAATAATAAAACAATAAAATAACTTACTCCTAAATGAGTTTTTAAATTACCCTTAGTTGAAAATCGTTTATCACATATAATACAGACAAATGGACGTTCTTCTATAAATATTTCAATGAATAATGAAGAAAAGAAAAAGAAAAAAAAGAGAAAAAAATCGATAATCGATAATCGATAATCAATAAATTGATTTTAAAATTTAAATTTGTCATCAACGATTTAAACATTTAAATCAATATTTTTTTTAATCATTAAAATGGAATTGGTGTGTTTTTTTTATTAAAGGGGTGGAAAGGTGGAGGGGATGACAGATTGTTTGACCTTGATCTTGATGAATTTAAACAAGATTTATTGATTTATTTTAAGAATTGAATTCATGAGCTAAATCATCATAGGAGATTTGAAAGTATTTGATGATTGTTATTGTCCTAGTATGAAACTTCTCAATAGTGTGTATCCACAATTCTGTCTTGTGAGATTCAAATCTAAGATCTATCAGTCTCATATGAAAGCGAACTGTTAACCACTAGCATCCAACAATGTTAATGTTTAACTTCAACTAATACACAAAATTGAATGACACACCCAACATTGACACATCCAACACTCGGTTAAAATCCACTGGTCACTGTTTCTCACTACAACTCTAAGGACTACCTCTTGGAGACAATCATTAGTGGGCATATTCTAATTAATATCAGATGGGTAATTTTAATAGCTGAGATTATGAGTCAATTAAAGTTAGATCACCATGAAAAACCTAGAAACATTGGATAGCCGTTCCATCGTAGTATGAGACTCTTCAACAGTGCGTATCCATGATCTTACTACGTGAGATCCGATCCTAGGACTTATCAGTCTCATATGCGTGAACACTTAACCCCCAGACATTAACACCATTGGATGCCAGCTTAGTGGTATAATCTCATACTAGGACGAAACGGCCATCCAGTGCTTCGAGATTTCGATAGTGTTCCAGCTTTAATTGACTCATGAATAGTTCAACTGTAAAATCACTAAAATCTCCATAAAACTCCTTCTGATAGTAAGAATAATTATTTTCATTTGTAAGTGACATTTATCATGAAGTGATTTCCTTTGAAATGATAAGAAGTATTGGATAGTTAAATGAGATTAATATAGGACTCCTTAGCGGTGATTATCTATGACCTCGTTACTAATAGTAGTGGATCTGTGTAGGGCCAGTGAAATATCATTGAGCCTCAGCCAAATGATCCAGTATTTGGATCACTGAATATAGAAAAATGAGTAAAAATTGGATAGAACCGGAAAGGAAGGCCCAGGATATTGTGGGTTGGAGAATGTTCATCGGCAGCCTAGGCTCCATTGAGAGTAACAAGCGTAAGTAAGTAAGTAAGTAAGTAAGTAAGTAAGTAAGTAAGTAAGTAAGTAAGTAAGTAAGTAAGTAAGTAAGTAAGTAAGTAAGTAAGTAAGTAAGTAAGTAAGTAAGTAAGTAAGTAAGTAAGTAAGTAAGTAAGTAAGTAAGTAAGTAAGTAAGTAAGTAAGTAAGTAAGTAAGTAAGTAAGTAAGTAAGTAAGTAAGTAAGTAAGTAAGTAAGTAAGTAAGTAAGTAAGTAAGTAAGTAAGTAAGTAAGTAAGTAAGTAAGTAAGTAAGTAAGTAAGTAAGTAAGTAAGTAAGTAAGTAAGTAAGTAAGTAAGTAAGTAAGTAAGTAAGTAAGTAAGTAAGTAAGTAAGTAAGTAAGTAAGTAAGTAAGTAAGTAAGTAAGTAAGTAAGTAAGTAAGTAAGTAAGTAAGTAAGTAAGTAAGTAAGTAAGTAAGTAAGTAAGTAAGTAAGTAAGTAAGTAAGTAAGTAAGTAAGTAAGTAAGTAAGTAAGTAAGTAAGTAAGTAAGTAAGTAAGTAAGTAAGTAAGTAAGTAAGTAAGTAAGTAAGTAAGTAAGTAAGTAAGTAAGTAAGTAAGTAAGTAAGTAAGTAAGTAAGTAAGTAAGTAAGTAAGTAAGTAAGTAAGTAAGTAAGTAAGTAAGTAAGTAAGTAAGTAAGTAAGTAAGTAAGTAAGTAAGTAAGTAAGTAAGTAAGTAAGTAAGTAAGTAAGTAAGTAAGTAAGTAAGTAAGTAAGTAAGTAAGTAAGTAAGTAAGTAAGTAAGTAAGTAAGTAAGTAAGTAAGTAAGTAAGTAAGTAAGTAAGTAAGTAAGTAAGTAAGTAAGTAAGTAAGTAAGTAAGTAAGTAAGTAAGTAAGTAAGTAAGTAAGTAAGTAAGTAAGTAAGTAAGTAAGTAAGTAAGTAACGTGACATCTATAGAGTTTAACTTATAAAAATCTCAAGGATAGAGAGTATATACTTGATTTACTTACCTGTATGTACACGATAATGCATTGTTAATGCACTACGACAACTAAGTACTTTATTACAAACACCACATTGATTTGGACCAAGTGTACGTTGAAATCGATCAGCTAATTGACGCCATAATATATTTTGTGACTGATCAATTTTCATAAATTGTTCTAAATAATCTTCAGATGGACGTGATGATGATGTTGTGGTAGTTGATGTTCGTGTAGTAGTAGTAGTAGTAGCTGTTGTTGTTGTTATTGTTGTAGTCGTTATCATTGTTGATGATATTTGTTGTTGTCTTTGTATGGTTAAACAATCTTCATCATAATCACCATCATCATCATGATCATCATCATCATCATGATTATCATTATCACTATTATCATTATGAAGATTTAGTTTCTGTTCATAATGACCATATTCTATTGTAGGTGATGATTTGAATTGATTGAATTCATTTGGACTTTCTTCATTCATTAAATATTCTTCATCCATATGCATAATGGATTGATTCTCTGAATAAGGTTGATTTATAAATGATCCAGGAGGTAATTGATATTGTAAACGATGTTTATACATTAATTCATTATTATTATTATTATTACTATTGGATACAGGGGTTGATGATTTTGGCGGCCAATTATAATTTGAATTTGTAAACAATGTTAATAAGTTTTGTGGTATCATTGATGTACCATTATTATTCATTGGTAATGTTAATAATCTATGATTCATTTGTTCTAATGTATTTGAATAGGTTGATGATCTTTCTTTCATCATTGTTGTTAACATCAATGCATGATGATCATGATCATTAGTTGATAGCATTGGTGAATGGATCATTGTTGTTGTTGTTGTTGGAATAGTGGTAATGTTTGATGATATTGTTGGTTGAACTAAGGAAGCAGCAGCAGCGGCCGCCGCCGCCGCTGCTGCATAGGCTGCTGCTGCTGCAGTGAATAAATCTACCGATGACGATGATGATGTTGATGAATTCTTTGTTAATTCGAATGGTTGATATGATGTTCCATATAAAGATGATATTTGAGTATATGGACAGAAATTACTATTATTAACAGCTTTTGTTAGTTTTTCCATCGCAAGTATTTATTGCATTACTCGATGTAGATGGAAGAAGTGGAATAGTGGGTGATGTTGTTGTTGTTGTTGTTGTCGGTGTTGTTTTTAAAGTTAAATTATAACATTCTGATGAAGATGAATATGGTAGAAATTGCATTAATTGATTCATTGTTACACCTTTAATATACGATTCATACAATTGACTATCTTCAATAGTTTGTTGATGTTTTCCATTATCAAATAGGAAGTGTTCTTGATTCAAAGTATTTTTAGTAAATAATTTGTTTACAGTTAAATCTAATGCATCATCATCTTTATGATTAATATTATCATCACTATTTATACTACTTGAATGTATTATTTCAGTAGTATTAGTAGTAGTAGTAGTAGCAGTAGTAGTCTCTTTATTTAATTGTTCAATATGTTCTGAATTTCCTATTCCACTATCATATGTTAATGTACCATTGATTAAGGATTTCATTTGATCAATTGGACTTATTGTATTTCGATGATGATCATGATGATCATTTTCATAAGAATTCAATTCTATTTGATTCTTTAAATGATGATTATCTTCATTATGATTCAAATAATCTGATTGATTTTGTTGTAATGGTTGATGGATACATTTCAATTTTGTCCAATCAGTTGTATCTGTGCAAAAGAGAGGGGTTTTGTGAATATCATAGTAAATTTAATACTTGAGATCATGAGTTAATCGAAGCTGGATCAATATGGAAAACCTGGAAACACTGGATGACTGTTTCGTCGTATTGTGGGATTCCTCAACAGTACGCATCCATCATATTGCTCGTGAGACTCGAATCCAGGAGCTTCGATCTCACGCACAAATGCTTAATCTTTAGAACACTGAGCCTGCCAGAATCTAACGGTACAACTGTCTAACTTCAACTAATCCACGATATTGAGCGACACATCTACCATTGTCATTAGTGAGTTACTATCTTACTATAGATTCTGATTAGTCCCATTCTGGGACAAAACGGATGTCCAGTACTTCTAGGTTTTCCATGGTTATATACTACTTAATTAAATTACTTAAATTCAATTTTAAACAGAATAGAGTTCAAACCTATAAGTAAATGCTTTAGAAAGTTGAATATATATAAATGACAACTGACGTTCATAGTTCGAAACCATAATCTCTTTCATTCTAAGGATAATAATGAACTTGATTTGATTCTTATCTATTCAATTCATTTACAAAGTATAAATTTATATACTTGGCTTTGAGCTACTAAGGATACTATTTGATTGACTACATCACTACAACACAGAATGCACCAATCCAATCACAATTGACGGAGAAGATTTGGAAGATGTAAAAACCTTTACGTATTTGGGCAGCATCATTGATGAACATGGTGGATCTGATGCAGATGTGAAGGCGCGGATCGGCAAAGCAAGAGCAGCATATTTACAACTGAGGAACATCTGGAACTCAAAGCAACTCTCAACCAACACCAAGGTCAGACTTTTCAATACAAATGTCAAGACAGTTCTACTGTATGGGGCAGAAATCTGGAGAACTACAAAAGCCGTCATCCAGAAAATACAGCTGTTTATCAACAATTGTCTACGCAAAATACTTCGGATCCGTTGGCCAGACACTATTAGCAACAACCTACTGTGGGAAAGAACAAACTAGATCCCAGTGGAGGAAGAAATCAGGAAGAAGCTCTGGAAGTGGATAGGACACACATTGAGGAAAGCACCCAACTGCATCACAAGACAAGCCCTCACATGGAATCCTGAAGGTCAAAGGAAAAGAGGAAGACCAAAGAACACATTACGCCGAGAAATGGAGATAGACATGAGAAAAATGAACAAGAATTGGATGGAATTAGAAAAGAAGGCCCAGGACAGGGTGGGTTGGAGAATGCTGGTCAGCGGCCTATGCTCCATTGGGAGTAACAGGCGTAAGTAAGTAAGTAAGTAAGTACATCAAAGTAAATTCAATAGAGTTCAAATCATATAACTTAATGATTGAATGTAGAATACCTTAGGATAACTGATATATTGATAAATGACTAATTTATAATTTCTTTTAAATGTTGATAATCTCATGTAGATGATCATCATGTTATGTAGTAAGTTGATTAAGGTTAAGATTGTACCATTGGACATCGACAGTGATTTTGACAATTCAGTCATCTCTCCATAACTTGAAAGTCCTGAGTACAATCTGTGTTGAACTAATGAAGATGTGTGTGTGTGTGTGTGTGGCTTGCTGAGATGTACTCTTTGACTTTTAACGATACTTTAAGTGTAATCATTCGGTGAATAATCTGACTTATTGTTATTATTATTCTTGTTATGTCTTGAAACCGCTGACCAATATCATATATCAAGTCACTATTCAGAATCATAATTCTAATTTGGTCTATTTCATATCTATCATTGCCTTGACAAAGTAGTATCCCCAAGTTGAATAATCACATGCACTATTGATCATGAGTTGATAACTAACCTCCTATAGGTCTATTATGCTCAAGCTCCTTCCAGAAATAGAAAAACATAACTCTACTATTTAGATGGTGCTTGGACGTAGTCAACAGGAAACCCTGGACCCTGGTTTCGTGCTACTTGGTACTCGTCAGCAAAGTGTACCTGTAATTTTGAGCGAACTGGTGCTCCCTGGCGGATTCGATCCCGTATCACCCAGCTTCACAGTCAGAGACGTTACCACTGGGATATCCGAGCCACAACTGACCTCCTGTGGGACTGAGATGTAATCGCAATTGATTGATCACTAGGTGCAAGCACCAGTTCCCTCAAGATTACAGGTACACTTTGCTGACGAGTACCAAGTAGCACGAAACCAGGGTCCAGGGTTTCCTGTTGACTACCTCCAACCACCATCTAATCTCAATATATAGTGCACGCAGTGTCGAGTCACCTAGACTGGTTGCCACATTGCAACATGATCGATAGCATTCGATCGGCACTAATAAGGACTAGACAAGCATGACATTGATCACCACCCAGTGATCAATCAATTGTGATAACTCTACTATCCTTATACTTCAAACAGATGTGGTTTATACATAGACAATATCACTCTGAATCACACCATAAAATGAAGATTACCAACTATAAGTAAACAGGCTGTGGCTGTGAATTCACTACAAATTGGAATAAACCAAGTTGTATGACAGTAGTTGATGGTTTAACCAATACATAGACATAGTAATCTTGTTATTCAGTAATTATACAATAAAATTATCAGAATAGTTATTTGTAGAAATTGTGGTAAACTTCACAGTTAAATTCAGGAGTCGATTAAAGCTAGACCATCATAGAAAATCTGGAAGTATTCACAATCCTGCACATAAGACTCGAACCCAGGACCTTCGATCTTGTGTGCAAACACTAAAGATTGATGGACTCTTGAATTTAACCATTAAAATTATAATTAATCATAATTCAACAAACCAATTTCAATATTCATTCCATCATAACAATTATCTAAATGATCAATTATCACTACTCATTATAATACAACTCCAAAATGACTTTATACTAGACTTCTTCTATTAATATGGCATAGCAACAGAAAAAGAAAGGATATGGAAGTAATAATTGAAACCACTCCAATAATGAGTGTTATCAACATGACATTGACAATATGAAACGTATACACATACAAGTCACGTGTCACCTATCCTATTCAAATAAATAACGTAATATTAATGTAGTTCAATGTTTATTTTTCACAGCATAGCAACAAAACAGCCTAGGTAATCTGAATGGTATACATGATATGTAATTACACATTGTTGTTTTTTCTAAGTAATATAGTTAAAAGTAGTGTTATTTATAATTAGCATACTTAGTTTTTCTCTTGTCCCAAGTTAATTGTACATATTACATAACCGAAATAGTGAAAATTAATCTTACAAAGAGAAAGAAAGAGAGAGAGAGAGAGGTGAAGAAACAATTAGGTAAGAAGTGTGTTTCAACTTTGTCATATTATATACACCATTCTATACATGGATACTATGAATAAATAATAATCGGTTATCTGTATAAAGTTGTTGAAATGGTTGAGATCATGAACACGGATCAATGTTAGACCACCATTAAAAATTTGAAAGCATTGAATAACCGTTTCGTTCTAGTATGGGACTCAATTACAATTGAACAATCTCCACAATTCTATATTGATAGTTATTGTGTTCATTAATGATTTGTTTCGAGAGTAAATTTTTCAAGTTCTAGTGACAAGCTATGACCAGTGTAGTTTAACTGTGTCGAATGTAAGGCAGTTACACACTGAAGACAGTTACACACTGAAGACAGTAGAAGATGGTCACTCAATGTCGTGGATTGATTAAAGTTAGACATTAAAAGTGATTGGGTAGTCGAATTAATGGCCTCTAGAGGTCAAGTTTCTAACTCAGGAAATTCAGGCCATGAGGCGAATTCTTAGCGTTGAAAGAAATGAATTGGCATTTTATGCCTTAAATTTTATTAGTTATTTATGATATTGTCCAAAGCTCGTCCATCAGCCCCCAAATGCCCTGGTATGGCCGAGAGTGGGGAGAGTTCGCTCTTCCTCTCGAAATACTCTCACATGGCCACGCGTATATAACCTCTGCCAGGGAAGTCCTACTCACTGTCTTATCGTGGTGGGGTTGTTGTTTACGAAAATGGGAGGATGAAAAGCGAATGTTCGGCGCTTTAACCGGATTCCAAACCAATGGTGAACATGGTATCCTGTGGGATCAAATGGTGTTAAAATAAATAAGTAAATACATCAACACTGATCATATTTGTTTTACTCCCAACATCAATAAATCATAACTTATTATTGGAATATCAGGAATTACCACACGAATTTAGTTACAAGTAATGATATGGTAAATGGTATTGTATTTAAGTAAACCTGAACAATTCATTGATATCCCCACAATCCTCTACACTTAAAAATCGTAATTTGATTAATGTAAGGGAGATTTTTTAATTATTATATCACACAATTTACAATTATGAATCCATTTTATGATTGAGATCATGAATCGATCAATGTTAGATCAACAATGAAAACCTTGAAGCACTGGATGGTTGTTTCGTGCTAGTATGAGAATCCTGAGCAATGCATATCCACGATTCCACACACTGGATTCGAACACAGAACCCTCGGTCTCACATGCGAAAGTTTAAAATCTAGACTACCTTCAACAAATCCACGAAATTGAATAACCATCTTTTATTATCTTTGGCGGGTAACTACCTTACTAAGACGAAACGGCCGTCCAGTGCCCCCAGATTTTCAATTGTGGTCTAATATTGATCGCATCAACAATCACAACAATTTCCATAACTCCATACTGATATTAAACTGTTTTCGAAGAGAATCGGTTGAATACAGTTAATGATCAAATATAGTTATAAATATAATAATAAACATTTTCCTAATAATAATAAACTACTACTTACAAGTAGAAAGATGAATATATGATGAAAAGTTCCGAAGATCCTCATATTCAGCTGGATTAGTGATGATAATATTTAGAACTGATGACAAGCTAGTATCAACAGTCTGTAAGAATAGTCTTCTTTTCAACAGTTATCATCTATAGAGTTTACACCTTGTTTAGTCTAAGTGTAGTATTCATTCATTGTTCTCA